CCTATGCCGGCACGAGGCAGCTGTCAGCGTCATGTTGCCGCGTGGCACTTCGCGTACTAAAGGAAACACATGAAATCGGGAGGAGGAGGAGGAAGAGGAGGAGAGAAGAAGACAAATGGAGGACCTGGAGGAGAGAAGAAGACGAACGGAGGGGGAGGAGGAGAAGACGAGAGGAGGAAGAGGAGGAGAAGATAGGAGGAGGAGGAGGAGGAGGAGGAGGAGGAGGAGGAGGACCTGCCGACGATGTATGGCGACGAAGACAAAAAAAGAGGACGATGGAGGACGTGGAGGAGGAGGAGAGAAGGATAACACAAAAGCGGAGGAGTAGGAGGAGGAGAGAAGAAGAAGAGGAGAGGAGGAGGAGGAGGAGGAGAGAAGAAGAAGAGGAGAGGAGGAGGAGGAGGAGGAGGAGGAGAGAAGGACAAGACGAAAGGAGGAAAGAAGACAAAGAAGAGGAGAGGAGGACCTGCCGGATTTGGATGGCGATGACCAAAAACAAGAGGATAACGAAGGAGGAGGAGGAGGAGGAGAAAGGAGGAGGAGGAGGATGAGGAGGAGGAGAAAGGAGGAGGAGGAGGAGAAGACAAGAAGACGAAAGGAGGAAGAGGAGGAGGAGGAGAAGAAGAAGAGGAGGAAAGGAGGAGGAGGAGCGGAAAAGAAGACGACGAAAGGAGGAGGGGAAGAAGAAGAAGAAGAAGAAGAAGAAGAAGAAGAAGAAGAGGAAGGAGGAGGTGGAGGCAGCTTCACCCCGATGGCGCTAGCAGCTTCACGGGCAGCGACGACGTGGATTGGTTCTTGACGGTGCAGCTCAAGTGGGAGTGACGATGGAAGCTCGACAAGGAGGAGCAGCAACGACGGCGGGCTTGGAGATGGCAGCTACGACGGGCGGGCTTCGTGACGGCAGCTTCGCAGTGGAGGATACCACGTTCGAATTCGAACGCGGTGTGGTAGGCCAGCATGGGGGGAAACGAGGTCATTTCTTGTGGCTGATCACAGCCACCGGTCTTCGCAGGTCGGGTGCTGAGATCAGTCGTCGAAGAAGCCCTTCCCCCGGTCTCACGTGGGCCTGAGTAGCCCTTCCCCCAGCCTCACGTGGGCCTGAGTTCGAAACAAAATGTTTCGAAGTGTTCATGGGGGCCGGGGATGTTCCGACTGGGCGAAAAAAACCTCCCCCCGCACGAAATTGTGCTGGGCCCGCCCTGCGCCAAACCGGGAAACTAACGGGCCGGGCTGCCCGGGACCCCTGCCGGACGAAGGTTGGGCCGCCGGGTGACTCAGATTTTAACGCAGGTTTGTATGACTTTGTGACCAGATTTTTTTTCTCTGATTGTAGCGTCTTAATATGTCAGCATGATCCATGGGGACTATTCCACGTTTCGCCGTGGGTAAACTAACTTTAGGATTAATGCTATTCTAAGAGGATTGAATGAGTGGTTCCGAGTCTTCCGACATGCACAGAACAAACGTTGTATCATATGGTATTAAGCCTATCTGGATTCTGGGTGTATAGCTTAGTTGGTAGAGCATTGGGCTTTTAACCTAATGGTTTATCCGACGTGAAGTGCCCTTGTTGAAGAAGAGTTGCTAAGTGAGTAAATCATTCTTTTGTAAGTCCATCAAGAGCGCTTTGCGCCTTTCTAGGAGTCGTGTTAACAGGCTGGAAGAGTTGTTTAGGGTTAAGGGTTCCTACCACAATGGGTCCAACCCATGGGCCTACACTTCGTGCCTGATCAAGCTCGCATAGTCACTGCGGGAGAAGGATTCCATTTCTTAGCATATGATGTTCTCCACCTTGCCACCTCTTATGATCGCCTCGCCATTGAGTCTTCGACGGGGAGTTTCCGTATCGAATTTGGCTTTGTCGAGGGTCGAAGAGACTAATTTGTAAACATATTCCAAAAAGAAACAGCTATGACGAAATTGATTTACCACCACACTTAGGATGTGGTGGCGCTTTGTGCCTTGTGGGTTAGAGTCCCGCTAGCCGTACACTAGAAACGGAGAGCGATATTTTGTAATATGTTAGTTTTCAAGACTGATATCTTCAACCACTCAAACATCCATCCAAAGCAAAGACGCCCCTTGTACCTTCCTTTCCACTCTATCAAACACATTGCCAGTAAAGATAAGATTTAGGCCGTTTTTTTTCCCATCTACTCACTAAAGTCAGGCGTTCGGCTTCGCCCACTTCGTGTCCTTAGGTTGCATGGAAGTCGACGGGAAAAACTGGTCACTTGATCCAGTGAAACCCTGCCGAATAGGTAAGAGAACTCAAAGTAAGTAGAGTTAGCGAGTCGTGTAATGGGCAACTATTTCGCACGGTCTGGAGGGGGCTTTGGTAGTGTGACCCGCTTGACCTGGCCCTTTGATATGATAGATATCATATCATATATATCTCTTATGGGATTTGAGCCCGTGTCTTCGCCATGAAAAAGCGATGCTCTATACCCCTAGACAAAAAGGACAAATGAATGTGCTTGTAGCTCAATTGGATAAGAGCACCGAACTACGGATTTGGGGGTTGAGAGTTCAAGTATTTCCAAGCATGGGCCTATAACTCAGTTGGTTAGAGTAAGAGGCTCCCATATCCCAAGATGAAAATAAGAAAACTCTTTTTTCTAATACGTAGCTAGTCGAGTACGAGATCCAATGTCTCTTCTTGCGTGGACTCGCTAAAGTCAAGCCTTCGGCTTCACCTACTTCGTGTCTTGAGGTTGCCTGGAAGTCCACAGGGGAAACTGGTCACTTGATGCAATGAAACCGGCCAAATAGGTCATAGAACTCAAAGCAAGTAGAGTTAGTGCGCCGTGTAATGGGCAATGGTTCGGAGGGCAATTCAGCAAGTCTATGCAAATCATATTTGAAGTTTGACCCCTATCCCTTTTGAGATTATATTACAAAACGAGTTTGCGAAATAAGTGTTTCCTCTGATTTCTTGGATGCAGCAACTCTGCAACGAGCCCGTGGAATCTAGACGCGAAGCGGCTGCTCTTCGAGCCTTTGCTTGCCCTTATGTTTGTTTCGGCGGGATCCATGAACTTCACCATAGACCGAGTAGCTCGCGAGCCTTTTCCTCTTTTTTCGAACATGTTGTGGTCCCTATTGAGTTGGTCTCAATTGGGTGAGTGGGATGCTTTAAGCCACATTAAACTTTCATCGGCGAACAACCGAACCTTTGGAACGTCGACCTTCCAACATTACTGATAGGCTAAGACTATGCCTTCACCATATTCACTACAGGCATTTGTAAGGACTTTGGTGCGAGCCGTATGAATGATATGTGCAAGAAAGACAAAGAGTCAAACACATCATTCTCATCACAACAGATAGAACCAGAAGGTTCGATTAACAACTTTTGAAAGTTTAAAAGAAATTGTGAATTAGTCGTTATGATACTATACATAATACCATGATCGACTTTATCGAAGAATTGTGCCCTTCGATTAACAACTTTTGAAAGTTGAAAAAAAAATTGTGAATTAGTCGTGATAATACTATACATAATACCATGATCAACTGTGTCGAAGAATTGTGCCCTTGGCTTGGGCTGTGTGTGAACTTGCTTGGGTCTAGACGAGAGAATTGAGATTCGTGGTCCACTTCTTGATTCTATCTTGACACTCACTCTGCTCGCCAGAGTAGATATTGCCAGAGTCACATGGTTTACGACATCGCACCGACTCGTCGCGAAACTCACTAGACTCCCGTTTGTAACTTACAAACATGTGTGGTATTGTCAAGTTCAAGCACCGACTGATTCTCTATTGGATGGAGAGAAGTTTTAACTAATTGTTTTGATATATTAGATATAGATAAGATAAGGCGACCGACATACGGCACGCCCCGGCTGACGGTCGTGCCGCCTTAGGCTGTATCAGTCTATGATATGATATAAAATAAAAGTGAGAAGTAGCGAAGGGCCCTGCTATATTCAAAAAATAGTGCATTGGGTGAATGCCTCAACATTGAGAAAGAAAGAACGCAATGGAAGGTAAAATTATCACAAAAGGTGATTCCGGACCCCGATCAAACAATTATTGATGGTACCTCGCTTGAAAAGTTTTTGAAGCTTCGAGACGCGATAGTCAAAGTATATAAGGAAAACTAATATGTTGCTCGTATTTTTCTCTGTCTAGAACCACATACCCTTATAATCATAAACATCGGGATTGAAACACTTTCAAATAACACATAAAAAAGTAGAAGATGTAGCATGCAAAACACAACAATCATGAAAGCTTCAAGAACGAAATACGCGCAACTAACTAAATGCTATAAAGGTTGCACGCACGTAAGCTTGCTTAGTGGTGATTTCTATATGTGCATTCTCAACACCACCGATAATGAGAAAAACTACGATTTGATTCAGCTAAGTTATGAAGATCATCTTTTTTTTCTTCTGGCAAATCCTTGTTTTATCGAGCATCCTGTATTTTAGCAAATAAAGATTGATTTAAACTTATGTTTTTTTTTTGTTGAACGTCGTTTTCACAAGGCGCCTTCAATAATCCACCGAAGAGCTAAGGTTTCTTGACGACTCTTTGGTATAATGGATGATACTAATTGGGTGGTTTCAGAGATTTTGACTTTTTCTACTTCTAAAATAGGTTGGTTGTCGACAAAAAAATCATAATTAATTACGACTGGCGTCAATGTTTTTTTGGTGAGCGTGCCTAACGACGGCTTCCTGGAAGCATAATTTTTTTGTCAAATTAAATAAAGTGAAGCTTATGGAAACCAAATATTTATGTTTTTTAGAAATCGTAGGTGGTTGGATGTAAAGCTAGTACTAATACACAGAGCTCCATACTTTTCTTGAAATTAGGATTTAGTCATGATATGAAACTTCGAGCTCCGCCCTCGATTCGTGTGTTTACGGAAATTGAACCCGTGTTTTCAAATTCATAATCCGACAATTTGACCTATTAAGTTATATTCGTTGTGGTCTCGACTCGCTCTAACAGACAAAATGTTTTAGTTTGTCACGTTTACCATTTTCACCTAGCGAGTATGTTTTTTNTTTTTTTTTAATTCGTGTTTGACTTATTTATGTGGGAGTGTTTTACAATGTTCAAAGGAACAAACACAAGATAACATGGTGGCGGTTGAAACAGAGCTGAAAACTCGATTCATTTGTTTGAAACATGAAGTGGAAGGAAAAAGGAAAATTGGAGATGAATTCAATTTTGGAGTAGAAAATGTAGAAGTGTTTGGTGAACCAAAAATGATCCTTGGAGGCCGAAGGCCTTGGAGCCGTAAATTATGGATGGAACTCTGTATAAGATCACTCGGAAAACAATCTGAGATGAATGGATTCTCAAACTAATCCGCTCTAGACTACAAACTTTTTTTCATATGCCACACAAAGAGATTGAAGAGGCGACCATAGGCGCCGCCAGGCAGCGGTGTTGTTGCCACTTCGTGGCTTGGTTCCAGCTCTTCGAGCCTTGGTATGTGCATTTTTTTTTTGTTTGTGTCTTTTCTCTAATCTAAGGCGCCTCTTTTTTAGGCGCCTTTCTTGAGGGGAAATGAGCCACTTGTTTTGGTTTGGGTAGATTTCAATAGTGCCGCAAATTCAAAGAGTAATAACAAGAATAGCGAGCCCAATAGCAGATTTTGGAGCAGCTACAATTAATACGGATAAAGCAATTTTAGAGCCGTATGCACATACGGTTCGGAGGAGAAAAAAAACAAAGCATTTTGAATTTCATGATTATTCATGCAGTTGCCCATAAAATTAAGAAAGCCATCACTAAGGCGGATAAAGCAATAGCTTTAATTAAAGCAAAACCTAAAATGGGTAGGGATCAGAGGTGAGTCTCTGCCCTCTGAACCGTATGTGATAGTTTCCCGTCATACAACTCTCCATCAGCGTTCGGTCTCGAATGCATAACACTCCCAAACTGGCCAACGCTGGAAGCTTTCATGATTGCTGTGTTTTGCATGCTAGATTTTACTTTTTTATGTGTTCTTTGAAAGTGTTTTAATCCCTATGTTTATTACTATAGAGGTATGGGGTTCTAGACAAAGAAAAATACGAGCAGCATATTATTTTTTCTTGTATACTTTATTTGGATCCGTTTTCATCATACTTGCAAGCATCCGGTCCGGTCCGCTTTGCCTCGTGCGGCACCCTCCCCTCGGACCGGACGGACCCGGACCTGACCACACCAGACCGGATGGGGCCGGACGGGGTGCGGTTCGGGACTCTTCTGTCCGGTGCGGTTTGGTCCGGGACTGGAGCGGTGCGGGGAACGCACCGTCTGGGTTGGTAGAGACCCTTTTTTTTTTTGTTAAGGTTCTGCAGGGTCGGGGGCATTTTTGGGGGGGAGTGCACACCTCTGAGAGGTCCGAAGTTGCGAACTATTGGCAAATGTAAGGGGGTTATCCTGTGAGTTATCCCCTTCAAACGAGTGAAGAACGAGAGGAGAAAGAGAACGAAGCCCCCTCGTTTCCCGCCCGAAAATCCGATCGATCCGACGAACCCGAAAAAAACGAATTTATTATCTGCCCTGGGGGACGATGGGCTGGACGGCGCGAGGAAGTGAGGAGGACGAGGGGAAGGAGGAAGACGACGGCCTGGAGAGGAGGACGGCAGGGGTAGAAGGGGGGGGAGGAGAACAGGAGTAAGGGAGGAGGACGGCGAGGATGGAGAGGAGTATGGCGAGGGGGAGGGGGAGGGGAAGCAGACGGGAAGGAGGAAGACGACGGCCTGGAGAGGAGGACGGCAGGGGTAGAGGGGGGGGGAGGAGAACAGGAGTAAGGGAGGAGGACGGCGAGGATGGAGAGGAGTATCGAGGGGGAGGGGGAGGGGAAGCAGACGGGGAGGATCTGGAGAGGAAATGAGAAGGACGAGGGGGAAGATGGCAGCCTGCTGCTAGTTGCCCCAAATACAAACTGAAATGACCGTGCGTTCTGGTGAAGACGCAGGGGTGAAGCCTGTTTGGGTGAAGACGGCAGTTGCCTCAAATACAACTAAAAGGACCGTGCGTTTTGCTCAGGTGAAGATGGCAGCCTGCTGCTTTATCCGTTGCTGCGGAGGAAGTGAGGAGGAGGATGAGAGGAGAACGGGAGGAAGTCAGGAGGACGAGGAGGACAACAAGGATGGAGAGGAGGACGATGAGGGATAAGAGGAGGAGAAGCGGACGTGCAGGATGGCGATGGGAGGAAGGGTGGAGGAGGACGAAGACGAGGAGAAGCAGAAGAGGGGGGAGACGAGGAGAAGCAGAAGAGGGGGGAGACGAGGAGAAGCAGAAGAGGGGGGAGANAGAAGAGGGGGGAGACGAGGAGAAGCAGAAGAGGGGGGAGATGAGGTGGAGGAGGAGCAGCGGAGGAGGCCAAGGGGGAGGAGGACGACGGGCTGGTGACACTCACCGTCGGGGACAGCAGTATGGCGACGGGTTTGACGGGCTGCTCCTTCTCGATGGCCGCAAGGACGATACTACTCCTCGACGGCTGCAACGACGGGCAAGATGGCGACGGGCGGAACAGCGGCGCAGCAGGATGGCGACGGCGACGGCAGGACAGTGCAAATAGCAGATGGCCGGCGGCACTTTCCTCTGCGACTGCGTTTCAAACCAAGTGAGTAATGCCCTGAGTCCAAGGTGGTCCGCCCTTGAGCGCAGGCCGAAATTGTTTTTTGGCAGTACTGGTTGCATTTTTCGAATGGGGCCTCGAAACTGCCGTTTCGACCCTCGTTTTTTTTTTTTTTTGGTGGGGGGGGGGGGGGGGTAACTAGTCGTCGGGCGCACATTCATGCGCCGCGKGGGTCTGGTCCGGCGGTCCGCCGCACGTGCGGAACCGCGCAGACGGTGTCCGCTTGCAAGTATAGTTTTCATGCTTTTAGCTATTTTATTGATTTTGTTTCAAACGGGAAGCAGTGAGACCAAACAAAATCAATGTTGCAAACGCCTCTCACGCAGCAAGACATGCTGGACACGAAGTGCTATTGTTTGCCATTGATCTTCAGGGTCAGTAGTGGAACGTTCTGAAAGTTGCAGAAGGCTGTTTGTGAAAACAGCTGGAGATATTAGAAGTGAGAATGTTGACACGAGTAGCAAAAAATCCGGTGAAAAACATGATTGCCGAAAGTTCAAGGGTTTCTGCGTTCAGTCAATCTACACAGAGTGAATCGGTCCCTGAGGAAACCCCGAAAGGCGGCACCGATGGCATAGAAAAATAATTGCATAAGAAAATAATCTATTTCGTGCTTTATCAACTTCCTCGATTGATCAAAACTTCTGTTTTTTGGGTTGGTTTTGGATTTTTGTAAAGTTCTACTGTCAATTGTATTGGACTTATACGCGTTCAGATTATAATACTTCTGATGAACAGTCACTTCCTTTTGGTTGTTGTAGCGTCTGGTAACCAAGTATGGGAGTCCTATTTGTGCGGATTTTCCTACAGGTCCAATAAAGAGTATAACAGAAAGAGCAGTCAGTGCATGAATTTTCGCGGCACTATTGAAATCTACCCAAACCAAAACAAGTGGCCCATTTTCGCTCAGAGGCGCCTTAGATTAGAGAAAAGAAACAAAAAAAAAAAGAACAGAAAAAGAAAGAAAGAAAGGCACCAACTTTTTTTTATATTTGTTTTTGAGGTGGTTGTTAGGACCTTATCCGAGGGCTCCGAGGATCCCTTGTCTATTTCTGTACAACTTCCCTGTCCCGGCCCCCTCTACGAGGGCTCTCTTCGTGTATCTGTTTTCCTGTTTGGGTGCTCTCTGCCCTTATAGAACGCCTGGTCAATGTGTCTGTATCTAGACTGAAAGTTGCCCCAAATACCGCTATGATGACCGGGCATTATATTCGGGTGAAGATGGTATAGGCTGTATAGCCTCTGTGCTACGACGTGTATGCGTTGTAAGCAAATACATCGAATAGGTTGCTTTCTATTCGAACAGAACATAACGCATAAGCGTTCTATTCAAACAGCCCTGAAATTCGAATACAACGCATATGCGTTCTATAATCTATTAGAATTTAGAATCATCATTTTTTTTTTCTTTCTGAAAACTCAAATGCAACGCGTATGCGTTATGTTCGGGAGGAAGACGGTAGTCCTGTCTCCATGTTACTGTTTTGCTGGCCTCCCATTTCTCCTCTTTTACGGTTTTACCCCTCCTTGCCGATGTCAGTTACCCTCTGGCATCCTTGTTTTGTTTTCTCATTTGCAGTACAGATCTCTGTGACCCAGACTCTGTCCCCACTACCAGGAGGGGTAGGGCTTCTGCTAGCAGGTCAGTCGAGGCCTGGCCTGTCTGGGTAGTCTGGGTGGGCAAGTACAATTGCCACATGTTCTATCCCTGCCGCTCTCTGCAGCTCTGGGCAAGTTAGGGCAACCCTTTCATCTAAGTGGGGGTGAGAGGTCCACCCTGGAGGAGGTCGCGTGGTACCAAAACGCATGGAACCGAAGACCAGCAGGGGAACATCAGTACATCAGTATCACTAACACGCTCGGCACCATTTATTTTGTTCCCCAGTAGTCTGCCTGGATTAGCATCCATAATCTCTGTATGATAACGCCCTCACGGATGCGAATGCCGACTCCTCGGTTGTCGAGTGAGAACAACGAGTTTGGTGATGTTAATGATTTGGGGTGATGTTCAGTGATCATGGGAAGGAGGAGGAGGAGGATCAATTGGAGGGGGAGGAGGAGGAGGGTAGGGGAAGTGTGGGGAGGGTCAATCGAGATTGTCAGTGGATCGTGGAGTGATGGATCTTTGGTCGGCTCATCGCTTATCGTTTCTTTCAGGGTTTCCTTTGTCGGTTTGTCGTGTCACGACAGGCAGGTGAACGAGGACTGTGCTGTGAACTTGTGGTACGTTTAAGTGCCAGGTGAGGTTCCCTTTGGTTGGGACGCTGGGTCCGTTTCCCAGCACGTGCTGCTCCCCACGAATAAGATCGGAGCCATCTCACACCGTTGCTCCTACAACAGGCGTGGTCTCTTATCCCCGTCTGCAGCAGGGGCACCCAGGGTGATGTTCTTCTTCTTCTTTTTTTTTTTTTTTTTTTTTTGACAGAAAGATGGTTCTCGCTCATTAACAGCACGAATGAACTGAGGCCGGGGACCTCACAATTCAACCCGGAGTTATCCCGGCAGCGTCAGCCGGTTTAGCTTATGAAATATACTGGCTCATATTAAAAGGGCCTTTACGAATTAGACCCCAGATGAGTACCTCAACAGCGAGGGGCCCTGTCAGCCAGAACTTAAATTCACGAGCAGCAACCCAAAAGACAAAGTTCCTGAGGAAAATGTAACATCCATAATGGAATGAAAGGTCATTCTGAACCGTCACAAACAGGTCCTGAACGAACAGGTATTGGACACAGTTTTTAAGACTGAGAAAGGGTCATGTCTCCTGGATGAAAAGTCATGTCTGCTCGTCAATGAGTCAAAGGGCACAGTCCCAGTCCAGTCATAATCCCACGAGTCAGTCCTGATTCAGACCAGGAGTCCAAAAGACAGGCCCGACGGCCCAAGCAGCAGCAGACCGTGATAAAAGATACTGGGACACACACTTTGCAAGAATCGGTACTGGGCAGGAGTCCCAGGCACAGTTGAGGCTGAACGCAGGCCACGCCAGACCAGTCCAGCACTATAAAGGACTGGCCAGCCTCCCATTTGGCAGATGCTCACTTCGCATGAGAGTGTGGAAGTGCCGTGGCACTTGTGCGCGAGATGTGTGTGAGCTGCGCTAGGCTGAAGAGCAGCGCTATGTGAGAAGGAAGAGAGTGCTGGCTAGAGGGAAGGCAGCCCAAGCTGCGCCAGCACTAGTTAGCATGTTAGTAGGGATAGTCAGTAGGAGATACCAGTGAGTAGCATTCAGAGTAGATCCCCGTGTGATAGGGAGTGTGCGTGTATGATGAGTGAGGAGTAGACCAGGACTATAGACCAGGAGGGAGAGAGAGAAGAAAGCAGACGAGAGAGGGGGAGGTGAGAGCTATGGTGACACTTACCAATTGAGCGCTGTTGTTGATGTTTGGCAGCTGGTGCTGGCGAGCACCAGGCCTGGGAACTCATTTTGATTCGAGAAGACTTGTAACTCTGGTTGGCGCTGTACATTTGGACTCACGATGTACCCTCTCTAATCTGGTTTGATTAATTGAGTTGAGCTCCTGGTTCTTATTCATCTTCTATAGGGCTTTGTGTGAGACATCGCAATCTGGGAAATCTGTGTGAATGGATGTGATCTGAAGCACTCCAGCGAGTGTTGAAGAGTCGGGTTTCTTACAATATGCAGATATGAACCTCTTCACTCCTCTTCACTCCTAGAGAAAATGGTCACCACCCTCCTGTTTGATTTTTGCAAGAGCGATTGCTGCGATTGGGGGGGAAAAAAGGAAAAAAAAAAGTTGCCCTTGTGGTTGCTCGAATAGAGTCTTCACTCTCGCAATTGTCATCAGCAAAAGTTTCTGTTGTCCCCTGCAAGAAAAAAAAGAAAAAGATCGATGCTGGGATTTGCTATGTGCACCATATATATCCCTTCTCCTCAGCAGTTTTTCCTCCATGTAGATCTCTTTATTTCAATCTATTATTGGTTGATGTTGCTATGGATGGTTGTTTGGCAGGCAACAAGGGTATTGGATTCTTCATAACAAAACGCCTTGCAAACGAGGGGATTACGACTATCTTGGCAGCAAGGAACGGTAAGTGGATGATCCCGTGATCGATTGATCCGACTCGGTGTTATCTGCTGCCCCATGGCAGAAGTATGCTTGGAAGGAAATGTTTGTTAAGCACTGAAATGACGGGCTGGTTCCTCTTTTCGGTTGTGAATTTGCAGTCGCTGTTTTGTGCATATGTAGCTATCTCTCTGACGATGTGTTGCGATATATAAACTTCATGAAATTGTGTGTGTGTGTGTGTGTGTGTGTGTGTGTGTGTGTGTGTGTGTGAATGTGTTTGCGAATGTGTGTGTTTGTGTGTGTGTGTGTGTGTGTGTGTGTAGCATGTGTGTGTAACATGCGCTTCGCATGAGCACGACACGTCATACTCATGCTATTCCGACTGAAAAAAGTCAGCACACCGTGAGCAAAAATCAAGACGCCGGAGGCGATCTTCCAACGCGGCGGGGTAAAGCCATTTCTAGGTTCACTTGTGGGGAGGGCAATAATGGGGCCGTTTATTGGTTGAAGTAGGCCATTCTTTGCGTTTAGATGGCGAATCGAGGTGAAGGGGGGTAGGGGTGCCTCGCACTTCAGTGGGGCAAAAAACCATCCCGCAGAGCAAAAAAAGAGAAAAAAAGGAAAAAAGGAAAAAGTGGAAAGAGTATGAAAGCATGCGACAGATTGAAATGACAAGGCAATTTTCCAAATCTACAGCGCCACCACACGCCTCGTCGAGGCAATCCATTTTCCAACCCCATCAATAAGATAAGTATTTAATGACAGACTGTCGTAAGCGCAGATTTCATAAGGATACCTACACCAAAAAACAGCATCCTGCATAGAAGACGGAAAAGCACTGAGGTTTCAAAAGGCGAGAGCAGGCGAAAGGAAAGATTGATCTCCAGCAGAACATACTTTTGTGATGATTATACCCAAGCTATATCCCAAACACAATCAAACAGTGCATAGAGACATTCCAACTGAGAAGATCGTAGTATAAAACGACAATCCATGCGATTGAGTAGAGAGATGGAGAGAGGCGAGGAGAGGGGTAGAAAAAAGTCGAAGGAGAAGAAGAGCTTTACACGAGAATAAAGTTCCAAGATAGCAAACAAATCCTTGTTAAGACCGTTCAATCAACAACGAGTACATCGCTTCTCCTAGATGCATTGCTGTCGAAACCCCACACGATCCCATTAGGGAAGGGGAAAGGGCCGGGGAGTAGAGAGGACAGGCGAGAGGGGGGGGGGGAGGAGGGAGGGGGGAAGGGGGGGAAAGGGAAATCCCGCTTCAGCTCTATCCTCCAGACCCGGCGCATTCTGCATTTGCGGTGATCATCTCGCCAAATTGCGGGAAGGGCGTGGCAACTCCCTAAAGCGCTTTTCTGCCCCATGCCACGTGGGGCGTCTTCAGAGGGAGGGACATCTTCCATGGTCTTTGGAAGGTGGGGGGGATGGGGATGTGAGGTTACGAGGGATGGTGCAACGAGACAGGGGGGGTGGAGAGTCATGGGTTCGAGCGAGGGGGAGTGGGGTGGGGAGGGGGGTGGGGGGGTTGATGGCAGAGGGGGACGGGAGAGAATGGAGGAAGTAAAGGAAGGAGAGGAAGGAGAGGAACGCGAGGAAGGCCAAAAAGGCGCAAGTCGAGGTCTCCGCTGCCGATCTGTGCTCCATCGCCCTTCGCTGTCGCAGCAATACTATCGAGCTTAATGAGTTCGCAATCCTGCAGCGCCTATGATGAAGAACAGGCAGCAGCAGCTGGCGAGAAAAAGGGTTGCGAAGCAAATGGTGCCGCCGAGCAGGAACGCAAAGCGCCTCGCTGATAGTCGGAGGAAAACTCCCTCGTTCAAGCAGGCAGCAAACAAAGCGCAAGCTATGGCTAGGTTGGGTATCAGGACGAGGAGGAGGAGAAGAAGCAGGAACGCGATGCTCCGAGCAGGGGCAGGCGCTAAGTTGGGCAGGCTGGGTTCGGCGGGGCAGGTGGGGGGAGGCTGCATAGTGCTCGGCCTGGAGTGCTCAGGTGCCGGGGTACGACAAAGGGACCARGAGAGTGTCGCTTCACAGTGTCGTTACCACTTCTTCCTCCTCCCGCTGCTCATCCTACAGGTCCCAGTCGGCAAAAAAGTCCATGTTGCCCGTCGCTTCGTCTATTCCCCACGCAGTCCCCGACAAACTGACCGCACTGCTAATCGCGAAAGTCGTCGATTCGTGTGTCAGTTTGATGAATAGAACACCCTGTGTTCTGTTCTGATATAGTCCCGAAGCATGCCCAACACCCGCAGCCTTCCGATGCAAGCTATTGTTCCTATTCCACTATTCCTACGTACTTATCGGATGGTCACGAAAAAAACGAAGAGAAAAAAGGAGAAAAAAGAAAAAAAGGAAAAAGGAAGAAAGGAAAAAAGGAAAAAAGGAAGGGGGGAGGGGGGAGGGGAGGGGGGGACAAGGGACACCAGGGGTGACACAGTCCAAGAGCCAAGACCCGGCTGACACCTACCTACGCTCCCCGGGGTCGTGTATTATTCGAGTCCCGCCCATATTCGTCAAGATCCGAGAGCGAGCCGTTCTCGAAATCCATGGTCGGTCGAATCCCGCTGCTCAGGATTTTATTCGGGGGTTTCCCCAGCGTTTTATTCGGGGGGTCAGGACCATGCTATGTCTGCCCACTCAGAAAGGAAAGAGGCAGGAGAAGAAGCGGAGGGGAAAAAAAAGAAAAAAGAGGATATGTTTGCCCACTCAGAAAGGAAAAAAGAGGAGGCAGAAAGAAAAAAGAAAAAGAAAAAAGGAAAAGAAAAAGAAAAAGAAAAAGAAAAGGAAAAAGGAAAAAAGGAAAAGAAACAGGAAAAAAGAAACAGGAAAAAGGAAAAGAAACGGGACAAAAAGGAAAAAGGAGCAAGGAGAAAAAGAAAAGTAGTGGTCCGAAGGGCCAGAGGGGCCAATGAGCCATCCACCCTTCCCATTGCTCATGACGCGAGTCGAGAGGGAAGGGGGCCCGTCCATCCATCTTCCATCGATTCTCCTCTTCCTCTCTTCGACCTGTAAGCGTGTGTGTGTGTGTGTGTGTGTGTGTGTGTGTGTGTGTGTGTGTGGATGACTTGATGCACCACAGGAGCAATGAATCATCAAACGGGCACTGTTTTGTGCATGCTTAGCCATCTATCTGACGATGTGTTGCGATAAATGAACTTCATGAAATGTATGAGCAAACATGGTATATGTGTGTTTTAAATTTCCACCACAACAGCCCCAATTCCACCCAGACGAGTAGAATAGAGTTGAACCAGCCCAACAATTAAAGAATTTCACCTCTTTAGCAAGCAACACAAATCATAATAGAACCGTTTAGAACTGCGTTTAGTTGGGGTTCCTTCGGGGCAACAGCTCCTCTTTTACAATGCCTCGCATGTACAAAGATGCCCATGTCGATGGTGGTTGAGCAGCACCTGCCCACATCCCCGTGTGCCTTAACGGCCACCCGCACGTTATAACAGGAGGCAGAGTAAAGTGGAAGGTATGCTCCTGTGCATTTCACTTCAGATTTTCATACTCCTGTTCATTTCGCTTCAGATCTTCAGCTTATGCTTAGTCTTTGTGTCTGTCGTTCGTCTTCATACTCCTGTCCATTTCATTTCAGATCTTCAGCTTATACTTTGTCCGTTAACTGCTGTGGTGATCAGGTCAACCAAGAAACAATTGTTGATCTTGTGGACATTCACTCTGTGTGTATTTCAGAAAAAAATGGCCTTGAAGCAGTGGAGAAGCTGCATGCGGAGGGGCTCAATAATGTCGAGTTTCACTGTTGTGATCTGCTCAACCATGAAACGATTGATGATCTTGCAAGGTATGTTTCTGTGTGTGGATGATGGGGGCGCTTGCATAACGAATGAAACATATTATATGATCCCTCCTTTTTCCATGCTTGCATACTCCTTTATGTCTGAATTCTTACCTTGCTGCCTGTCCAGGATGGGGTTGTTCTGTGATGGCTCCAACCTTATGGGTGGTGGAAACATGTACCGGCGTGTCCCTCATAATACATTTACCCTTGGCCCTTGTCCCTGGGAAGAATGCAGGGAGCCATGTCAGATGCTCCTGCAGGAAACCAGGTTGAGCATCCCTTAGACTGAGTCCAAGCCCCCCCTCCAGTAGTTATAGATCTGTACATCTGGGCCCAAAGGCCCTCCTCCATGCAAGCACGGACTCAAACCGGCGACCTCGGCCTCAACAGCCAGGTATCTCAACCACTACAGCCAGGACACGGTGTTCAAACGTGGAACCATACCGGTTATGATATCCACCCCATCCCTGCAAGGGGCCGTTGTGTCCAACTCGACACACACCACACACAACACCACACGGGCGCACCACACAGACATGCGGTAATTCTCGCACACTTCGCTCCAGTCAGCACGCGAAGAAATCAGGTGGTGTAGACTGTGATTTTTTTTTTGTTTTTGTTTTTTTTGTTTTTTGGGGGGGGTTGTGAAACCTGTGATAATGATAATTTATTAATTTCCCTTCGTAAAGAAATGGGGGGACTTGGCTGGTGACTAAGTCCTCTCTGCAATCTTTGCATCCCCCCCCCCCTGGCTGTGTGATTTGGGGCTGTCTCTTGACTGCGTGGGCATCAGCGAACAATTGTCGACCCTTCCTTTTTCTGTGTCTCATATGGTCGGAATTTGGGTTATGACAGTTTTATCAAGTCATAAAGAAATGGGACACTTTCTTCATTTTTTTGGGGACAACCGGAAAAAGAAAGTTTTTTTCTTCAACTTTTTTGCACCCTTCCCTGGCTGTGTGATTTGGCTCTGTCTCCGAATTGCCTGGCCATCAGAGCAAACAATTGCCAACTGGCATCTCAAATTCTCAATGGAATCTGGAGAAGGTATGGAAGAGTGATAGGAATAAAGCAACAACAGGAGCATGGACCACGAGTTACGCGCAATCTGTGACCAGGGGGGCAAGGGAGGATATCAACCTCTTCCTGCTCCAATGCCCGAGGGCGGAGCAGCTCTGGGGATGGGCCGCGGAGCTATGGAGATGAACTACAGGCCGACCGTGCTCACCGAAGGCCACTGTGCCACCCTTACGGGCTTCACGGAGCCAAGGGGGTTGGGAAGATGGGAGCGGAAATTTTACAGAAGACTCTAGACCTTTGCATTGCGTGTATGACTCCGTTTGAATTGGTCAGATACGTTAGGAATTATGAGCATATAGCAAAGCAGAGAATACGCTGACATCAGACGCATTCATGGACAAACTTGAGAAGTCGTGTACGCAAGCAAGCGACAAAACAACACAAGGTATCCAGTAATGATTGAAAACTTTCATTAAGCTCGGGATCCACCGAAACAATCCAACTACCCAAGAACCACCCTCGCGTCCGACCAACCCATCCGTCGCTAATGGCCGAGACTGATTAGCAAACGAAAAAGGAAGATTACTGCTCAATCATTATTCTTATACTGCCAGTACTGTCCTTTCGTTCAGTCCCAACTCGGACCTCCACCGAGGGACCGGTCAGGAGTCAACAAAAAAAACAGTGGGATAGGCCAAAACCACAACACACAAAACGGGTGTCCAGGCCAGGGACAAAGGAAAACCAAAATCAAATCAAAAGGCAGACCCGGGTTCGAAGCTACCTATATTCTCTAGTGCTAACAAATCTCTCTCCTAAATAGCTCAGTCCTCCCTAACTGCGAGGTGAAAGGGAAAACCGTTCAAGGCTAGCCAATTCCTACTCGGTTCCATCAGGTATTCCCATACACCTATCTCAGGCGGCGACCACATACATTCAACAAAGCCACCCCGTTCTTCACAAAGGCCCACAAAACGAAAGGACAACCCTGTCAGAGTAACACACTTCTCTGAAGCTCCTCCACAGCCAATCTCTACTCAATCAAAACAAGTCCCTAGCAAACAGCACCACAATATGGCCAAGTCCCCTTCCTTGTTTGTTCGATCGATAACACTGTCTGTTCATCCTGCCCAGCGGGCCGGATAAGTCGTTTGGTCCGATGTCACCAATGCACAAGTCCAACGCCATGGTACTCAATCGAAACAAGTCCCTAGCAAACAGCACCACAATATGGCCAAGTCCCCTTCCTTGTTTCTTCGATCGATAACACTGTCTGTTCATCCTGCCCAGCGGGCCGGATAAGTCGTTTGGTCCGATGTCACCAATGCACAAGTCCAACGCCATGGTTCTCCGCGTCCATGTGCGAAACTTTTTAAGACCCTGTCAAAGAATTTCCCAGGGAAATCCTTCAACCGTAACTCTTTCTTCAAAGTAACCACTCTGCGTGGGATCTCGGACCGAATCGTCGTATTCCTGTCAATTCGATGCAAATAACTACTAACAACTGCACTTTTCTGTGCTTTGCTTCCCCACGACATGAACGACTGTCCGTTCAAAAACTCAATTGTCTCGTCTCCCCATATCGTCGCCTCATTTTTTGACAGCTGGACACATTCCATGAAAGGGTAATTACTGTTCACTCGCACCTCACATCCCAAGAAATCCAAAATGTTACCTCCATCATCCGTTCGCTTTAGTGTGAGGTTACTTGGATACGCTTTCTCAAACAGAGTAAAGATTTCCTTGTTGCTACTAGTTTTACCACCGGCAATAACCCCCACATCGTCAATCAGGCGAATACCATGAACAAGCTTCCTCTGCTTCCCCAGGCTCCTCAGGAAATCAAATTCTGCTTTGGCGCACATGATGCAAGCTAGGGGTGGGCTGGTACTTTTTCCCATCGGGATTCCCACCTCTTGCTTCATCAGTATCGTAAGTGCCAGAGTGTAGGTATGTGACAGCTCATACCTAACAAATCGATCTATGTCAGAGAAGTCGAGTCTCCTCCAATGATCGTACCCAGTCGTCAGTCCAAAAGAAGCACCTCGTCCCCGTGTATTTACTCTGACAAAATTTCTTCCTTTGCCTGCGTGGTAATCGAATAGCCATCTGACTGCGCATACAATGTCATCATGGGGTAGCAAACTGAACATGTCTTTGATGTCATACGATCTCGATTCCACAGTCCTTGCCGTGAGTCGGCTCATCCGTCGGTTACCCTCCTCAACTTTCTGTGTCAGAAGTGACACATCTCTCATATTGAAGTGCCAATCGGTAGGGATGGTATACAGTAAGTGATTAAGTGCTTTCGCAACCGCCTTGCTTGTTCTTGCTGTTGGTTCTGGAAAGGAGGGACCAATCGGTCGAAACCGATTTGGATCCTTGTGTTTAGGCAGTGCGTATGCCTGCCCAAACGTACCTTTCTTGTTCCATCGCGCAAATTCCCATAAGTTGGCCATCTTCAAATCATTCTGCATTTCCTGGAGCACATCACTGGCCTGACCAGATACAGGGGAATAACCCCCGCTCCGGATGAACAAGGTCATCATTCCTTCATGGTAAAGACGGGGGCACATAACCATAGTCACTCCGGGATTCCTGTCTAATGGAGTCAAAACCAAACCTTCCAATTTTCTTCCCCATTTTTGAACTTCGTCACGCCCTAAACAAGTGGTAACTTCCTGCTGATTTCGCACACAGACAGCCAGGTCACTCCTCGAGAAAGTCACCTTCTGCATCTTACTGATCGGCCAGTTGTCAAAGGCCTCCAATTCCTTCCTCAAACTAAGCATACGATCCGACCTGGGTGGTTTAGGGACATTCTTAGCATTCCCCAGCAAAGTAGGTACACCCTCAAGCTCATGCAATCGAAACTGCATGTGACCTCTTACCCGTGGGTAAGGAAGACCTGCGCATGTGCAGGCAGACACTTCAGCGCGGGCATATTTGCGCTGATTGTGTAATAAATCCGCAACACTCGGATTTTTAGTCCAAATGATCCGGATCTTTGATCGTGCACGTTTCTTCACACAGACTGGGAGGCATAAACTACCAAGCTTATCATTAACAAGCTTCCTAACTTCCACGAGTTTAACCCGATCGTCATAAAGAAGGCGAACAACAAGACTTGCAGACAGATTAAAGCCAAAGCCGTCACGTATACATCGTGAGATCAGGTGCCTCAGATACGTTCGCGTAGATTTTTGTTCAAAGTCTTTAACAGACGAGAGCAAACCAGAGAGGGAGTGCAAATCCCATTTTCTCAAAGATTCATAGCGCTTGGGATTCTTGAGTAAAGAAATCAGAAACGGTTTGTTAACACCGGTCCTTGGTTTCCATTTTCGTAAGTAAGTCACATGCACAGTACAGCCTCCCTCGTATTCCGTCTTAAAATCTCTGAAACTACCTGACCTCCCATTAACTCGTACTGACGAAGCTCCAAATGCTTTTCGTAACACACGCCATCGGTCAAACCAGCAGTTCCCACTACAAAAGTCAAAGCTAAACACTCGATTATCCTCCGTATCCTGTTGCTTCAAAAACTCAAAAACCCTGATCGTCGGAGCTTCCCTCCCCTCTAAATTAACTTTAATGGGGCAGAAACCTTTTGGTTCAAAGGCTGTAATCAACCCAGCGTTCCGTGCTCTCTCCTTCTTACCTTTTCTCTCATTGCGCTTCTTTGGTTTACCCTCACAACCGGCAGTATTGGGGAAAGGGCTCCATCTCTTTATATACAAAGATTCAATAGACAGGAGTTCACTTTCCTCACCTACATCAATCGGGATGAGGGCATAAGTTTCGATGCCGAATCTCATCCACCACCGGTAGAGGTGCGTTGACTTGCCCTTCCTTTTCCATACCGAAACCTGTTCTTTCCACCGGATATCCGGCTGCCTAGACGTTTGGCCTATGCATTGCGACTTACACTTCAACGAGGAGATAACATATACACAGCCAGTCTTTGTTAGGAAGTCCAATCCAAAACGGGAGAACAACTCGAGCCAGGCATCAATGCATTTTTTCAACCAACGGCAACATCCACGTAACGCCAAGTAAAGGACAAGTAGCCTATAAAGGTGCTCTACATCAGAGTCCGAGCAGCCGTGGTAACGACGGTAGGAAATCAAGATATCGCTAATCAATAACAATTGATCAACGGTCAAATCACTTCACTGCTCTGACTCGTTTCCCGAACTTTCAGGATCTGATTTGGCTTCTTCCTCTCCTTCATTCTCTCGTGGTCCCGTACCTACTAACGTACCCGGCCCATACCTTGCCCGGGTCCTTGCATCGGCCAAATCGAAAATAACCTGCACTTCCGTTGTGTATGCTACGCCCTCCGCTCGGCAAAATTCGCGCAGCATATCACAGTCGGCTTTAGCCAATTCCCGCCTTACCTGGTCCAAAAACATCAGTCGCTCCATGGCGACGTTCCTGGTTGGTGGCTTGATGGTAGAAGTCGCCTTGCTTGGTGGCGCTCGAACGTGCTTCCGTATAGTACGTGCCCTCGTTCGTTGGAGGCGCTCCGAGAATCGGAGCTGCCGCATGCCTGTCCGTTGGTTCGTCTTCTTCGCAGGTGTGGTAATTGGCGGGCTGTCTCCCACCGGGGTATCCTCTCCACGCTTCCGCTTCTCGGTAATTGCCAGATTCTCCGTACCCGCCGTTATAGCTTCGACTTCGCTCGGATCACTTGTTGTCCCGGATGAGGACGGTTGTTCCATCTTCGCTTTCCCCTTGTCCACGACCTTCCGAACTTCATTTTTTATCTCCTCTTGGATCTTAGTCAGGCGCACAGCTAGCTGCATTTCCACGGCCTTCGTCATCGCCAATTGCTCTTCCTCCCGGCGTCGTTGCTTCTCCAACTTCTTCAGCACACGAGCCTCCTCGGCTATACGTTCTTCTTCCTCGCACCGTTTTTCTTCCAGCTCCTTCCTCTTCATTTCCTCCTTCATCAGCCGTTTCTTCTCCTTTTCTTGCCGTCTTACTCTCTCCTAGTCAACGAACTCCTTCAAACTAGCAACACTCTCACCAAGTTCTTCCAACTTCGATGCGGTCTTCGAGTCGACGGATGGAGATCGGTTTGCTGGTGCACCGTATTGTCGCCTCGGTGATGCCGAACGGCCTCGCCTTTCAAATTCAGGCGGGCATACATATCCATCTTGTTCCGCCTGATTTCTTGACGCTGCATCTGCCCAGAATCTCCAACAATCACTCCGGTAGTGCCCGGGCACTTTGCACCCGAAGCAGACCGGAGGAGGTCGTCGTACCGGTTCCGCAGGATCATTCCGTCGATCCCGCCCTTCACGCTCATAACTTCGCGCGCGGTCGGCATCATCCCAGCCCCTTCTTCCTTCGTCAGTACGCCTATCACGGCGATCTCCCCAGTCACGGGGGCGGTCGCCACCGCCCATGTCGGCCGGCCTTGGCTTCCAATCAGTAGCAGAAGTCCCTCGAAACAGAAGGTAACAAGTAGTCAAAACGTGCTCACTCACTCCCAGCCAAAAACCCGGGTAGGTTCACACGCACGTCAACAGGAATTATGAGCATATAGCAAAGCAGAGAATACGCTGACATCAGACGCATTCATGGACAAACTTGAGAAGTCATGTACGCAAGCAAGCGACAAAACAACACAAGGTATCCAGTAATGATTGAAAACTTTCATTAAGCTCGGGATCCACCGAAACAATCCAACTTCCCAAGAACCACCCTCGCGTCCGACCAACCCATCCGTCGCTAATGGCCGAGGCCGATTAGCGAACGAAAAAGGAAGATTACTGCTCAATCATTATTCTTATACTGCCACTACTGTCCTTTCGTTCAGTCCCAACTCGGACCTCCACCAAGGGACCGGTCAGGAGTCAACAAAAAAAACAGTGGGATAGGCCAAAACCGAGATACGTTAGGAACTAAAGAATGAACGTCGCCATCCTCCTCTTCGACTTTGAAAAAGCGTACGACAAGGTTAATTGGGACGTGTCCTTCGGGGCATTCGTTAAATTTGGAACGATACAGAGAAGATTAGCATGGCCCCTGCACAAAAAAAAACAAAAAAAAAAAGGATGACACATATAAATCGAGAAATGGTCTTATAAAATAAAAAAAGAAAAAAAAAGAAAAAAGGTTTATTGGGATGTTTCAGCAGCAGTGTGTGGAGAAAATGGGTGTCAGACAGAATTTCCGTCGTTGGGTCAGGGACCCAGGGTGCTTTACAAAAACACTTATGGGCCTGTGTAGGTCACGGCGCTCATTCCGACCCTTTCAGAGTGACCTGGTCGGTGCGCCAGAGAGACCCCCTGGCCGCCCTCGTCTTCCTATTCACCATGGGGGCCATCGCCTCCTTCCTTGAAAAAGACCCTTCCATAGACCCCCTCGTCGCTGATGACAACCAACGGGGGCGCACGTGGTCACCCTCCCCACAACCACCCTCTTTGTTTGTTTGGTTCCAGTCGCCACATGGTTTTGTAGATTGGATGTCGATTTTGGTTATTTGTTTTGATGTCGTCACTGGCCTTCATGATGATATTGGAGAGAGGGGCAACCTCACACTACAGGCACACAAAGAGGGCACCAATTGAATCACTGAATGCGTTAAAGGGCCACTACCTTTCCCGTACGTCGGCCGGTGGGAGGGTCCCTGCTCGTTTCGCAGGCCGAAACGAACTTTACTGGTGGAATTTATCGAAGGCGGTCACCGCTGGGTCCAGCCCCTGAAGAATGCGGTATAGGTTCTATTCCCACTTTTCCCAACACTGTGAAAGGTAGGGGCGGCTTAACCCGCTCTGTAAGCTAACCTAACACTACAGGCACACAAAGAGGGCACCAATTGAATCACTTAATGCGTTAACCACGAGCGTTTCTGTACACTAATTTCACACTGCAGGCTGTTACATGCTGTGCCTATAACAGGCTGCACAGGCCCCTTTCAGGCCCGTGACGTTTTCAGGCCAAAAGCCTGAAAACAAGGGCCTACAGGCCCCGTGTCGTTTCAGCCTGAAAGCCTGAAAACAAGGGCCTACAGGCCCTGTGTCGTTTCAGGCTAAATCAGGGCCTTTCCGGCCCTGAGTGTTTTCAGCCTGAAACTGAGGGCCATTTTCAGGCCTTCATCAGTTCGACCCGCCCTGAAACTCAGGCAACAAACCAGGGTTTTAGCACAGGCCATTTCGGGCCTGTTTTCAAGACAACCCCTGGTTGTGCTTCAACGCCAGGGTCTGGCACGTTTCGGCATTGGCAAGAGCAGCCTCCTGGACGGGCCAGCACTATATAGGACTGGCCCGCCCTGCACGCCGGTAGGTAGTTCCTAGGTACTTCCCAGGCACTTCACGTGCAGTTCAGGAGGCAGGAGGTAGTCTTCAGGATTCGGCAGCAGCACTCTGGAGGAGCGCTGCAGGAGTAGTAGTAGCGCTAGCAGTAGTCTTCAACGCTGGGCGCTAGTAGCGTTAGCAGTAGTCTTCAGCGCTGGGCGCTCTTAGGAGCTAGAGTAGTACTAGAGAGAGAGAGATCGGGCGGAGGCCAGGGATACTTACCTGCAGCGCCATAGCTCCAGCTTCGCCTTCGAGGTACCTGCAGCACAGCGCCATCTTCACAGGTTAGTACCTGGCACATGAGAGAGAGAAAGTTCTTCTTCCTCTTCTCAGTCCACCATCTCCCTCTCACCCTCTCGCTACCTGACTTCACTGCATCAGCAGACTATGAGAGAGCGGGCTTGGTCACATTTGGATCCAGACTTGATATTGGGCTTCAGACATTTTGACGAGGGATTATTTGGGACTCGTAACAAAGACTTGGTGTTGATGACATTCCCATCTCTCCCCCCCCTCTTCTTCGTCTGTTCCCCTCCTCTTCGTCTGTGCATGATTTGGACCTGGCGCATCCTTCCTGTGTGTAGCGCCAGGCCCCTTCACACTTTGTGATGAGGATGATGTATGTTTGGTCTGCGTTGCAACATTGATTGGGTTAGTCGTTGGTATTCCAGCATTCTGCTGCGCTGTCTTACACTACGTGATAGAGGTCAGTCCCGGTCAGGTCAGGACTTGTATCTAAGTCTTCCACTGCACTAGAAAGCACCATTTTTGTGTGTATCAGAATGCACACTGCTTGTTGAGATTCTATTTGCACGGCATTGTCCATTCAGTCCTTTTCATCACATTGTGGATCCTTGGTTATATATGTACATCGCCCAACTGGGCATGTAACAGGCACACAAAGAGGGCACCAATTGTATCACTGAATCGGTCTGAATGCGTAAACTCAACTTAACTGGTTCAAACATGCGGTTAATGGAGGGCCGAGTTAAAATAGAGCGTTCAACGAATCCAAACGAAATGCCAATTTTCTCATTATTGATCCAAACATGTCAAAACTGGACACATGACATTCCCTAAAGCACCTACATATCACACAAGAAGAAAAACAAGAAAAAAAGCAAAACATCAGGACAATATGACAGTTCGAGCGCAAATTCGGTGAAAAAAAAACACTCCCGGTTAACCACGTGTGGCACCTACATATCACACAAGAAGAAAAACAAGAAAAACAAGAAAAACGAAAAAAAAAATGGAAAGCATCAGGGACAATATGACAGTTTTGGAGCGCAAATTCGGCGAAAAAAAAACACCGTCGGTTAACCATGTGTGCTGGTTCAGTAAACGAACCTCACACTACACGCACCCAAAAGGGGGCACCCAATTGAATCACCGAATGCATTAACTGACTCTGTAAACTCTCTACTTCTTTTGCACAGGTGGTTGAAGGAGAAGTACGGAGGGATCGACATTTTGGTACGCAAACAGTTTGCTCCTGTTTTCGCCCTCCTTTTCTCTGTTGATTCTCTCTCCTCGCCCTTCATCCTCTGCCGCCTTCCTCGACCCACCAGTCGCCCCTTCTGACTGCATCTGCCACCCAATTTGTTTGTAAATGAAGGGATGAGCGAACGGAGAAGAAAATGAACCAGCACATGAACTTCAGCAATCGATGAATAAATAAACAAGTTTTCTCCAGTTCTGTTCTCCATCCTCTGTTGTTTCTCTCCCCTTGCCCTTGCTCCTCTGCCACTTTCCTCGACCCCCCAGTCACCCCTTCTGACCCCATCTGCCCCCGGATTTGTTTGTAAATGAAGGAATGAGTGAATGGAGACGAAGCCAAATGAATCAACAAAAAAGAAAGTGACTGAAGTCACTGGATGGAGTAAATGCAGCGGCCTGCACCCAGTCAATTGAACGAAGGAATGAAGGAACAAACGAAGGGAGGGAGGGAGGGAGGGAGGCGGGTAGAGAGGGAGAGGGAGGGAGAGAGGGAGGGAGGAAGGGGGGTAGGAAGGGATGGAAGGAGGAAAGGGAGGGAATTGAGGGAGAGCTGGAGGGAGCGATAGGGAGAGCTGGGAGGGAGGGAGGGAGGGAGGGAGGGAGGAAGATGTGAAGGAGGAAGAGTGGTAAGGAGGAAAAGGCACATTAGGGAAGCAGGAAGGGAGCAAGGGACATCTGGACAGCTTTTTTTTGTGTTTTTTTTTCGTTTTTTTTTTTTTTTTTTTGGTTTTTTTTTGGAAGATCCATGTTCGGGGTCCAGATCCCCCATCTGGACAGTCTGGATCCAGATATGCCTGGATGTCAGGCTGTTGTCCAGTTATCTGGAAGCGGTTAACAGAGCCCCACAATTTTCAGGGCCCCTTGGGGCTGAAAAGTGGGGGTCCGTGTCAACTGCTTATGATCATCTGAGGTTCCAAACCACACGCCATCTGATGCATATTACTTAGATGATTCTCTCAGTCTGTTCTACATAGAAATTCTTGTCAGAAAAAAAAAAAAAAAAAAAAAAAAAATCTTGTCAGAAAGTCTCCGTCAGGATTTGGACAAGAGTGACGTGTCAAACACCGGAGTCACGGTGGAGGGGCATTGTTGTTATAAAATGAGAGAGAAGCAATAAAACGTGCACAGGAATTAGGCGGGGTGATATGACATGCCTCCTATGAGTTTTGTGAAATTTTTTCATAGTCAGTTCATACTCGATGCGTGACATCATCGTAAGCAGTTAACATGGACCCCCCACTTTTCAGCCCCAAGGGACCCTGAAAAAACCCTGAAAATTTGGGGCTCCGTTAAGTTCGGCGTTATCCACCACTACTTTGCTGAGTTTGCTCTGCTCTGTACTGACACGGCAATGAGTTATCACTTTCATCGGCAAACAACCAAATCCTCGGAACGTCGGCCGTCCTCCATCACCAATGGGGTTAAGGCTATGGGCCTCGCTGCACTACTGTCGAAATGCACAAAAGACAAAAATCGTGGTGGTGTATCTTTCCATGTTCTAGCAGAAGATTCACTCTCGTTTTGCACATTTCGAGAGTAGTGCCGCGAGGCCCTATGCCTTCAAAACACTAACTACAGTCACCTGTAACTTGTTTTTTTTTTTTTTTTTTTTTTTTCGTGTAAGAACTTGGATACAAACCGTATGGAAAACGATGTGTGCAAGAAAGATGAAGAGTTGGAGACATCGTTCTCCGGTCTAACATTTTGATGTGTGTACCAATTCCCCACGTTGTTTCCGTCCAGCTTCTTCTCCTCCTTTGCTGGAAAAAGTGTTTCCTACCGTCTGCTTCTGCGTTGCTCTGCACTGCCTCAGTCCCACACTCAAATATGTGTACCTTTTTTCCCCTGCCACTTGTTCCTGTCGGACTCTCTGTCCATCCTGTCAGCCTTCATGGTTGCATTGGTTGTCTTCTTGAGTGCAGTCCAATCACTTGCTCTGTGTGTGTGTGTGTGTGTGTGTGTGTGTGTGTGTGTGTGAGAGAGAGAGAGAGAGAGAGAGAGAGAGAGAGAGAGAGAGAGAGAGAGAG